GTTCCTCATGGATGTTGCGGATTTCAGAGATGTAATCTGCCATGCCAGGGCATTCCTCAAGGCGGACCTGGAACATTCGAGGAATGAGGATGGCAACACCCACTGCTGTCTTGTCATGAAAACGGTCCTGGAAGTACTTCCAAATGGCATGAGCGGAGCGAAAGGTGCGGTAGGATTTGACGAGCTCGACCGGAGTGGTGGTGATGAAAACCCTAATAACTGCTGCATCTGCCTGCTCCCACACACTGAAATCAGTCTCGTACTTGGTGGTCTTAGCATCAAAAGCGGCCTTCTTTGCGGCAGTGGCACCTTCACCAAGGGGATCGGGAGGGAGAGGCATCTTCCCCTTACCGCGGTTGAGGAGGATGTCCTTGAGGCAAATCCCCTTAAGTTCCGTGCTAAGGAGGTGCTTCTCCACTCCATAGCACCATTCCCCAAAGTTGGTGCTCGTGCCGTTGGGAGCGAGGTTGAGAACGATGAGGTTTCCGGCGAGGGTGGAAGTTGAAGTCGCCATTCGCGCGGAGCGCAGCGCTAAAGTCACCGATACGTAGCGAAGCGAAGCGGAGCGAAGCGGAGCGAAGTTCGAAACGCAGAAAAATGCGATTTCGGGAAAAAGATTGTAATTTCTGCTCTGCTGCTCTGCTTCACCGATGCCCCCTTTTCTGCTGCGCCGATGACCTGTTCTGCTGCGCCGTTGACCTGTTCTGCTGCGCCGATGACCTGTTCTGCTGCGCCGCTGACCTGTTCTGCTGCGCCGCTGAACCTTCTCTGCTGTGCCGCTGAACCTGCTCTGCTGCGCCGCTGAACCTGCTCTGCTGCGCCGCTGAAACCTGCTCGAAGTTAAGAATGTGAGAAATTTGCCACGGAAATTTGAAATTCCAGAGCTTACGATGAAAGAAATTGACGGTGAAATGTGTCGCCCTTGAAATCGGAAAAGCGCGGAGACGGAGCCGGATAGCGCGTTTGACCAGCGCGAAGACGTGAAGACGAAAAAACGCTAAGTGGAGAAGGCGGGAACCGAAGACGCCATAGCCGAAGGAAGAGAAATGATCGCGACGCCAAGGATCGGATTCCGCGTGAGCGGAATTTACTAGCTCGATGCCATGATAGAAAAGGAGCTCAACTGATTGATTAGTAAAGAAGGCACTAGGCCTTAAGTACAAACGAGGTTGGGTTGGGAAAGGCTAGGGAAAGGATGGGAAAGGAATCCTAGCAAATCTCCAATTGGTGAGTTGGCAGATTTGCAGGATTACGAGGGAATCCCAACCAGATAGGGTTGGGATTACAAACTACACCCAACCCGCAAATAACCTACGCGACATAAAATATAGTACACAAAATGTTGACAGCCTAATTCTAACAAAGTGGGGAGGGGATGTAGGAGAGAAGTGGGGAGGGGATGAAGGAGAGAAGTGGGGAGGGGATGAAGGAGAGAAGTGGGGAGGGGATGAAGGAGAGAAGTGGGGAGGGGATGAAGGAGAGAAGTGGGGAGGGGATGAAGGAGAGAAGTGGGGAGGGGATGAAGGAGAGAAGTGGGGAGGGGATGAAGGAGAGAAGTGGGGAGGGGATGAAGGAGAGAAGTGGGGAGGGGATGAAGGAGAGAAGTGGGGAGGGGATGAAGGAGAGAAGTGGGGAGGGGATGAAGGAGAGAAGTGGGGAGGGGATGAAGGAGAGAAGTGGGGAGGGGATGAAGGAGAGAAGTGGGGAGGGGATGAAGGAGAGAAGTGGGGAGGGGATGAAGGAGAGAAGTGGGGAGGGGATGAAGGAGAGAAGTGGGGAGGGGATGAAGGAGAGAAGTGGGGAGGGGATGAGGGAGAAGTGGGGCGGGGTGAAGTGGTGGGGGGGGGGGGGGGGGGATCAGGTGGAGAGGGGATGGGGGGGGTGGCGGGGATGAATGAGACCGGTGGGGAGGGGATGCTGGAAGCGCAGCATCATTTGTATGAAGGCAGGGAAGGCAGAGAGTGAGGAGGAGCGGCAGGGTGGTGACAGGCAGTGACCATCGTTCCCAGGCAGTGACCATCGTTCTTAGGCAGTGACCATCGTTCCCCGGCAGTGACCATCGTTCCCAGGCAGTGGACATCAATCCCCATGGGCCACACACACCACACGCGGGAATGCTCACCAAGGCGAGCAGAGGTGAGCGCATTTCTGAGGCGCCTCAAAGGCAGTGGACATCGTTCCCCCGTAGGCCACACACACGAGAATGCTCACCGCAAAGAGCAGAGTTGAGCGCTGCTTCCAAGTGCTGCTCTCGATCGACTGCCCCTCCTAAGTGCAGCTTTTGAGAATTCTCATAAGTAAAATTCTCGACTGCCCCTCCTAAGTGCAGCTTCAGCGCATAGAGATGAAGTGGCCAGCAGGCAGGCAGGCAGGAGGGCGGGCGGGTGGGCGGGCGGGCGGGGCGGGCGGGGCAGGCAGGCAGGGCGGGCGGGCAGGGCATTCAGCCTGGAGAGGTGTCTGAAGATCTGCGCTCGCGGACTATATACCAGCCTGGACCTTGACTTGGAGAGGTCATCCAAATCAAGGTGCAGGCTGGTGTAGTCAGCGAGGGCCCAGGGCATGACAGGCCACTGCGCCAAGTTGCCCACACCACACTGGGTGAGAAAGGCAGGCAGGGCAGGAGACCCCAGGCAGAGCAGTCACCTTGGAGAGGTCTCTGAAGATGGCCGGGTTGTCCAAGTCAAGGTGGTGGCTGGTGTAATCCGCGAGCACCCAGGGCATGACCGGCCACTGCGCCAAGTCACACATGGTGCGGCAAGCAGGCAGGCAGGCAGGCAGGCCGAGGGCTCACCTTCGAGAGGTCTCTGAAGGTGGCCGGATTGTCCAAGTCAAGGTGGTGGGAGGTGTAGTCCGCGAGCACCCAGGGCATGACCGGCCACTGCGCCAAGTCACACATGGTGCGCCCCGCTGCCAGGTTGAGAAAGAGCAGGTAGTCGTGGTTGGAGATGCGGCCGGCCTGAGGGGGGGATAGGAGGGTGGGGTGGGGGGTGGTATGGGGTAGGTAGTTTGTGGAAAATGTGAGGAGAACGGTTGAGGAAGAGCAGATAGTCACGGTTGGATATACGGCCGGACTGGCAACGGGGGAGTGAGAGAATGTGGGGTTGCAGCAAAGGGGTTTGAGGGGGGAGGCTTAGTTGCGGAAGACGCGTCTAGCATCTTCCGCAACTAAGGGGGGAGGAGGACAACACGGTGATACGGTTGAGGAAGAGCAGATGATCACGGTTGGATTTGCGGCCGGGCTGGCAAAGAGGGGGGGAAGAGGAGGCGGGGTTGGGGTTTGAGAGGATATTGGTTAATCATGGAAAATATTAAAGAGACAGGAATTTCGAGGAAGAGGAGATAGTCGCGGTTGGATTTGCAGCCGGACAAGACTAGGGGGAAGGAGCGGTGGTTCCTCTCGTTTTTCATCTCATTTTCCATGATGCAATGGTTGCTGCCACGCCCATATCCACTACTTTCCCACCTGCCACTGCCCTGCCACTGCCCCTCTGCGGAAATCGCAATTCTAACAATGCCGCAGCCCCTCACAGCCCACCTGTCACAGCCCCACCTGCCACAGCCCTGTGACGGCCTGCAGTGCATGCGGGTGAGCCTCAAGCAGCGATGCTGCCGCTGCTGCTGGGCTGGACACACCCTGAGTGACATGGGAGAGTGAGAAATGGGAGAGTGAGAAATGGGAGAGTGAGAAATTGGGAGTGAGAAAAATGAGAGCGAGAAATGGGATAGTGAAAAATGCGACGGTGAGAAAAGGAGAGTTGGCAATTGGGGAATGAGGGAAACACGAGTGAGAAACAGGAGATTGAAAATCAGGAGGGCAAAAGACAAGACAGGCATGGAACATTCGTAGACAGAGAGGGGAAGATAGACGGAAAAGCGCCCCTTTCACTCACGCCCAGCAGCTTCAGCAGCAGGTCAGCAGCTCGGTCCCTCTCCACCTTGGAACCGAACACAAAGAACACACTGCTGCCATCCCCCAACGGCCCTCCGCCCCCACTCCCCCCGCTCCCCCCGTTCCCCCCACTCCCCCCGCCCGCCGCGCTCCCCCCTCCTCTCCCACCAGTGCCACCTCCCCCCTCCAGCCGTCCTCCCCAGCGCCTCCTGAGCTGACACGCTGCGATTGGTCCGGGCAGGAGAAGAAGATTTCGAGGCCACGGGGGCGCAGGGAGTGGCGGCGGCGGGCAGCTGAGAGGAGGAGGGGCAGCGGGAAGATTCGGAGGGGGCTCTCACTGCTGATGGCGTGCAGAGGCTGTCAGAGGGGGGGGGTTGGGGTTGGGGGGGCAAGTGTCGTGTTTTGAGTCGACTCAATACAGGGTAAAGCGAGGTGAAAACCGGGAGGAGGGGCAGCGGGAAGATTCAGAGGGGGTTCTTGAGACGTCTCAAAAGATTCAGAGGGGGTTCTTGAGACGTCTCAAAAGATTCAGATGGGGTTCTTGAGACGTCTCAAAAGATTCAGAGGGGGTTCTGAGCCTCTCACTGCTGATGGCGTGTAACAGCTGTCAGAGGGAGGAGGGGGGGGAGAAAGAAGGAGGGGACAAGGAGGCAGCAGTCGGGAGAGGGGGGAGAGAGGTGAGAACAGGGAGGAAGGGGGACAGCGGTGGGGGTTGAGTATTAGATAAGGGATGGGATGCAAGGGAAGGAAGAGAGAAGAGAGGGGAGAGGGGAGAGATTAGAGGGGCGAGAGTGAAGAGGGGTGAAGAAGAGGGGAGAGAGAAGATAGAGAGGAGAGGAGATAGAGAGGAGAGGAGATAGAGAGGAGAGGAGAACGGGGAGTATGGGGACCGGAGGGAAGGTGCCAGAGAGGGGCAGAAGAAGTATGCAAGAGAATGATCTTCAAGATCACGTGTGAGTGAGGTGAGGTGAGGTGAGAGATTCACAGTAGCTTCAAAGGAGGGAGCGCGAATGGGAGGGTCCAAGGGGGTAATGGTTGAGACAAGCAGACATGGAGTTGACAAGAAGTTCAGAACAGCAGCAGCCTGCACCAGATATCACCTGCACGAGACGTCACCTGCACAAGATGTCACCTGGAAGTAGAGCCGCTGCTGTGTGATCACAAGGCGGCCCGGCTCCCGAACCAGTGGCCGAACCTGAAGGCGAGGGTCGGGGCAGGGGCGCAAACAGAGTTATGTGTTGAAAAAGAGCCTAAGCAGCCTGTAAATGCTCGGAAGGTGGCAGAACATCAGGTGGCCTGGGATCTCCTTTCCCTCGTGCCCACTGGGCAGGCAGCAGAGAGAAGGCTGTATGGTAGCGGAGAGCGCCAGTGGCCTGTATTCGCATAGACTCACTCATACGGCGCCACTTGGCATGTACCTGGCTCTGGCTGGCCAGGCAGTCCAAAAGGAATTAGCGACAGTCACCATGACTTGCGTTGACTCCCATTGAGTAACTAACCTTGACTCCTGTTGACTCGCGTTGACTCACGCCACACGCACCTGGGAGGCGAGGCAATCAAGCAGGATGAGTTCAAAGAGGTCCACGAGGCGGCTGACGTCAAAGGGAGGGCGCCGAGGTGAGTTGATTCACGTTGACCCGCATTGACCCATATCTATAAGATCGACCCCTAAACTCTGAACACACCTGGGAGGCGAGGCAATCAAAAAGAACGTGTTCGGAGAGGTCCACGAGGCGGCTGACATCAAAGGGTGCCGACGCCTCCATGAGGGACAGGAGGGACTTGTGAGTTGACTCCCGTGGACTTGTGAGTTGACTCCCGTTGACTCGTGTGACTCACAAGTCATGCCTACCTGGGAGGCGAGGCAGTCGAGCAGGATGTGTTCAGAGAGATCCACGAGGCGGCTGACATCAAAGGGCGCCGACGCCTCCATGAGGGACAGGCGCCGCGCCACCTCCATGTCCCTCTGCTCGTATGGCAGCAGCTGCACGCCCAGCACTGGCAGGGCCTCGTCTAGGAGCTGCAAGGGCGGCATGGGAGAGAGGAGGGACTGGGCTGTCTAAAGGCACCTCCATGTCCCTCTGCTCGTATGACAGCAGCTGCACTCCCAGCAGTGGCAGTGAGTGCCTCGTGTAGGAGCTGCAAGGGGAGTGCAGTGCACGGGGGATTGGGGGACGAGGAAAGGAGGGACTGGAGGGCCAGAAGCAGGCACCTCCGTGTCCCTCTGCTTGTGCGGCAGCAGCTGCAGTCCTAGCACTGGCAACGCCTCGTCTAAGAGCTGGTGAGGGGTAAGGGCGGGTGGGGGAATGAGGGACAGGGAAGGTAAGACGGCACCTCAATGTCCCTCTGCTCGTATGGTAGAAGCTGCACCCCCAGCACTGGCAGCGCCTCGTCTAGGAGCTGATGAGGGGGAAGGAATGGGGAAAGTAGGGGGGAGAGGGGGAGGGAAAACGGAGCGCAGAAGCTACAGAGAAGGTTCGGAATGAAAACGGGCAGAGAGGAGGAAGGGAAGGGTGGCCTAGACGAGTGTTAGTATAGAGTGACAAACAGGGGATGGACGGGGGGTCAGGTTGGTAAGGTACTGCATTAAGTGAGCTGGCTGTACCTGGGAGGTGGAAAGCTACAGCGGTTATATACCTGCGAAACAGGGGGTTACAGTGGTTATACACCCGCATGATGGGGGGCTATAGTGGTTATATACCCTTGAGGTGGGTGGGCGAGTAGTTGAGGGAGAGAAGGCCCATGTGGATGGCAGGTGGCGCTTGTCCATCTCCTTTCCACCGCACTGGCTGCTGTGCTGTGTCACCTCATTAGCATCTGATTCTCGCCTACAGGAGTGGCAGTAACCTGGTTGGCAGTAACCTGGTTGGCAGTAACCTGGTTGGCAGTAACCTGGTTGGTATACCCACAACAAGCAAGCAGGCATACCCTTGAGGTGGGAGAGTAGTCGAGGGAGAAGGCCCAGGTGGAAGGCAGGTGGCCCTCGTCCAGCTCCTTCTTCTCAAACTCGTACGGCACGTCCTGCCCACACGCCTTCATTGCCACGTACATGCCCGTCGTCACATACACCACATCGCCATACCCCTTATTCCCATTCCCTCCATCCCCATACCCCCTATCCCCGTATGTGCTTCCCCCATAACCCCCATCCCCATACGCATTCCCCAGCCTTCCCCCATCGCTCCTCCGCCCCCCTCCCCCGCCCCGACCCCCGCCAGACCCGTTGTTTCCGCCGCTTCCCCCGTCTCCCCCCGCCGCTGCGCCTTCCCCCGCCCACTCCGCGCGGATGCGCCCCTCCGCGGCCAGCTTCGCGCCCAGCTGCGACCGGTACCAGCGGCGCGACGTGGGGTGGAAAACGACTAAGATATGCGGCATGGGGAACATTATAATGGGGATGGCCGGGTCCTGCGGCTCGAAGAAGAGCGACTTCATGCACAGCCGCAGCCGCCCGCCCGCGAGCGTGCGCGGCTGGCCATCCACGAGGTGACACGTGGCGACCCAGTCGGTGATGTAGTGGTCCCCGTCGTCAAGGAGAAGGAGGGAGAAGCGCTGATGGCCCTTGCGACGCGCGGCTCCGCTCAGCATGATGGCAGAGGTGGGGAGAGGCGGGGAGAGGTGGGGAGAGGGGAAGAAGGTGTTGCGATGTGGCTATGCGGCGTTACTATCGAGACGATTTAGAATTCGTTGAGCAGGAGCGAGAATCGCTGAAGGCCCTCGCGACGCGCTGATCCACACCGCATGATCGCTGTGGGAGAGGCAAGACGCGCAGAGGTGGGGAGCGGCGGGGAGGGGCGAGGAGGGCCGAGGAGAGGCGAGGAGAGGTGAAAAGAGAATCGCGGTTGGTTATGCGGTGCTTTTGAGATGCCTCAGAAGTCGTCGAGCAGGAGGTGCGAGAAGCGCTGATGGCTCTCGCGACGCGCAAGGCACGACACAGGGCTCGGACTGGGAACGCTAGCACGGACGATGGAGACTTTTGAGTCGACTCAAAAGTCAACGCGCAAGAGGCGACTCAAAAGTCAACGCGCAAGAGGCGATTCAAAAGTCAACGCGCAAGAGGCGACTCAAAAGTCAGCTCGGACTGGGAGCGCTAGCACTGAACATGGTGAGCTTACGAGTGCCGCGCAGCGCACTTCGCCGCAAGCCTCGAGGCTTGGATAAGGAGGGAGGCCAGGCCACTGAATGCATTATGCACCCACAATCAAGGGGGTCGCCTCGAGAATTCGGGCAAACATGGCATCTTCGAACAGAAACCAATAGACTAGGACGTATTCCTGATAAGCTAAAATCTGGGGGTCGAAAGTGTCTCGAGCATGTACAGTACGACGTTTTGGCTTGATGATGTGTGGCTTGGAGAGATGTTGGCGAACCAACAAATCAAAACGAAATTTGATCGTCCATGGTACGACTTGCGGATGCGCAGCTGGTAAGATGTGTAATCCAGATGACGCCTCAGCTCCAGTACAAGGGGGCGGGGTCAGAGAACCTTTGTAGGATCATTCGGTAAGAACCATTATTAGTTAATTCGGTGCACCCAAGCTATTAGCTCGCAACAGGTTGTTATACTTCCAAAATTCCTACACATTCTGAAAAACAGCCCGACATGCCTGGCCTCATCTACCACCATAATTTGCCTACGCTCATTAGATAGAAGCCGCAAACATGAATGCTAGAAAAAAAAAATCATAGTCAGCAGCTTTTATTGAATTCGCACCATCCCTTTGCAACAACATACCACATTAGCAACTACAGCACCAGTTACACTAAAGCCTCTACCTCTGTGGCCACCTCAGCAGCCCCTGCTGCATCCACTGCAAGCTGCCCTCCACTAGTCATTTCCAGGTTCTCCTGCTCCCTTTTCACACCACCATCATCAGTACCCACCTCCCCAAACCCTTCACCCTCTCCCCGTTTCTCCATTCCCTCAACTTCAACCCCTCCCTGCTCCCATACAGCCTGCTCCATCTCCTCCCTAGACCCCTGCTTGAAATACCCCCCTGCAATCTCTATAAGCACATTCAGCATTTCCAACCCTTGGTCCTCGCGTGACTGTATCGAAGCCCTCAGCCCAGCACACTTCCTCAGCAGCTCCCGCAGCGCTGCTGCCGTCTCCGCTTCTATTGGCTCGTCCACCCCCGCCGCCCACGCCACCAGCCACATGCCGCGCCATGTGTCGACTGCCGATTGGCCGATGGCCCAGTCCACGTGGGCGCGGAGGAGGGCGGCGCGACCAACAGCATCGCAGTGCAGCACTGTGCCGAGCAACGGAGCGAGCTGATTGGCCCGGCCCGGGAGCACGCAATCCATGGCTGCCACGTCAGCATCTGACGGCCATGGCACTGGCATGGGAAGGTGCCCAAGATTGTCTTCAGATGGGTCAAGACCGAGGTTGCTGTTTTCGTCATTATCTGGCAACCACAGAGGCACGGGTCCCGAGTAGTTTATCATTTCGTCCAGTGCTGCTTCCACGTCAGCATCCACCTCAGCATCCACATCAGCATCATCTTCAGTGTCCACGTCAGCACCAGCATCCAAATCAGCATCTATATCGGAGGCGCCGTCAACCAGACTATTAACCTCACCACTTGTTGATCCAGCAGGTATCGCATCAGTGTCTGTAGCACCAGCATCTGTAGCACCAGCAGCCATAGCAGTATCACCACACCCCACGCCTCCATAACCCCTTCTCATCACATCCGCTGCCACATCATCCCCTGCCATCACCAATCCTTCTGGATCCTTCACAGAGAGACCCTTTACCGAAAGTCTTTCCGGAAGTTGCTCTGACAGTTTCTCCAGCAGCCCTTCTGAGAGTCCTTTTGAGATTCCATCAGTGGGTGCCTTGCTGTGCGATCTCACGCACGGCAGCAGCAGCGCCAGGCCTCTGGGTGCATCCTCTCCCCCTCTTACCTGCCCTCCTTCCAATCCCTCTTCTTCGCTCTCACGTTCACCCAATGCACTGCCATGCGCAGCGTCATGCGCAGTGTCATGTGCAGTGTCATGTGCAGTGCCATGTGCAGTGTCACATGCCATGTCACACATGCTGGCACTGGGATCAGCTGCCGCCTCCTCTCTCAAACTCCCACCTTCCCCCTCTCCATCAGCTCCTGCTTCCAGTGCCTCTCCTCCCTCTCCTCTCGCCTCCCCTCCCTCCCCTCTCGCCTCTTCCCCTCCACCTTTCTCCACACACTCGGTCTCCCTCTTCCCTCCATCCTCCACCGCTTCACCCTCTACTTCCGAACCACAACAAACCTCAACCCCATCCTTCGTCTTCCCCTCCCCACAATCCTCCTCTTCTTCCTCTACATTTTCAACCCTCATCTCCTCCTCTCCTCTTTCATCCCCCAAATCCTGCTCCCTTCCTCCACCCGCTGCCTCCTCCGCCCCTTCATCCTCCCCTCGCTCCCCATCCACGTCCTCTTCCCATGCAACCCCCTCCTCCTCCTCTGCAATCAAATCCTTCTCCTCATCATCCCCATCCACTTCCCCTTCCCCCTCTCCACTACCCTCCTCCTCACTCCCTCCCCCCTCACTCTCTCCTCTCTCACTTCCCTCCGCCAGGTTTACCTCACTGCAATCCTCTCCTTCACTCTTCCCACCTGCCTTCCTTCCTGCTCTCCTCTTCGCCTTTCGTTTCACCCCCGCTCCCCCCACTGCCCCTTCGCCCCCCTCCCCCCTTTCACACGGCAGAGCACGGCCGAAGCAGTAGGAGTGCCACGCGTGCAGGTCGCGGTGGGACGGGATGGGCATGCCGTGACACGTGGCGACTCGTGATTCGTCGACACCTTCAAGGCTCTGCAGACAATGGGAAAGCCGCAGTGGTGGAAAGGGGTGAAGTGGGGTGGCAGCGAGTGAAGGGTTTAGTATTATTGAGTTTAGGATGCAGCAAGAAAAGCAATCACCTGGCGCCCAGCTATCACCACTCACAGCACAGCAGCACCCACCTGTCTCAAGTACCAGATTTCTAGGCGCCGCAAAACGATTTCTTAGGCGCCTCAAAATGATTTTTGAGGCGCCTCAAAAAGCTATCGCCACTCACAGCACAGCAGCACCCACCTGTCTCAGGTACCCGAAAGCAGCTCGCACGTATTGCCGCCACTGCTGAGAGGGCAGCAGTACGGCAGGGCAGGCAGGCACAGCAGCCACTCGCGGCAGGTAGCATGCAGCCAGGGCCACCGGGGCACTGCTGCTGCTGCAGCTACTAGCGCCCATGCTGCTAGAAGCACAGCACAGCACAGCACAGCACAGCACCGCACAGCACAGCACAGCACAGCACCGCACAGCACAGCACAGCACAGCACAGCACAGCACAGCACAGCACAGCACAGCACAGCACAGCACAGCACAGCACAGCACAGCACATCACAGCACAGCACAGCACAGCACAGCACAGCACAGCACAGCACAGCACATCACAGCACAGCACAGCAGCACTCACCTGGCGCAGGTAACCAAAGGCAGCTTGCACGTATTGCCGCCACTCAGGGGAGGGCAGCAGCAGGGCGGGGCAGGCCGGCACAGCAGCCACTCGAGGCAGGTAGCGAGCAGACAGGGCCACTGGGGCACTGCTAATGCTGCTGCTGCTGTCGTCGGTGCTGCTAGTGGGCTTGCCGCCAGGTGGCGGCTTCTCGTTGGCTGCTGCGACGACCACCTTGGGCACGCGCTCCCGCTCCCACCTGCTCAGAGCGGACCAGAGAGGAGGTGAGTGAGGGGAGGCGAGGGGGGGGAGGGGATGCGAGGGGAGGCACAGGGAGGAAAGGAAAGGGGAAAGGAACCGAGTGAAGCTCGTCTGGAAAAACAAAAACCGCGAGCTGGAAAGAGGAAGTCTTAGTAGACTCTCCTTTTCTAAGTGACGGCACGGATTGACTCCTACGATAGACTCGTAGCAGGGGATGCGTGAAACACACCCGACCTGAAATGCACAATCAACAGAGTGATGCAAGCGCACCAACAGGCCGTGCAACGTAAACCTTTTGAGTCGACTCAAAAGTCAGCTCGTAAGCCCCTTACTATTCTTGGGAAACCCTGGGGCGACCACTCTACATAATCTTCCTTTTCACTCTGCCCACTCTTACCCACCCTTACAGATCCTTTCCACTCTTCGCAATCTCCCCACACACAGTTCCCATTCTTTTCACCCTTGTCACTCTTCCCACACTTACCATTCTTTCCACCCTTGCCACTCTTCCCAATCGTCCTCCTTCCTCAACAGCCCCCAACCCATCTGGCACGGCGCAAGTACTCGAGGCCATCGAGGGGGTGGGGAATGGAGAAGTCCGGCTCGCCATACACCGGCAGAGCCCTCGCCTTACACCGGCAGAGCCCTCGCCCTACACCAGCAGAGCCCTCGCCGTACACCGGCAGAGCCCTCGCGCGCACCCTTTATTCGCACTCTCCCCAGCGCCCTCGTTGCTCAGTACGTCAACCCTCACCTGACTCGTCGTAGGTACTCAAGCCCGTCTAGGGGGTGTGGAATGGAGAAGTCCGGCTCGCCATACACTGGCAGAGCCCTCGCCTGCACCTCCTCCTCCTCTTCCTCCTCCTCTTCCTCCTCCTCCTCTTCTTGCGCTCCCTCCTCCTGCTTTCCCCACTGCCCCCCCCATCGCTCCTCCTGCTGACGTGGTCGGCGCTGTGACTCTGCTTTTCCACACTCTTTCAGGCCATCCCACCTGCCACCAGCGGTAGCGCCAGCAGAAGCAGTAACAGCAGAAGCAACACCCACAGCAGCAGCAGCAGCATTGGCATCGGCTACTTTGCTCACAACTTCTTCAACCATCTTCTGTGCCGGCACATCCTTGCCTATCTCACCATCACCAAAGCTCCCAGCAACTGCTTGCCCTGCCTCCCCCACCTCTTCTCCCGTGGCTTGTGCAGCAGCAGCTGCTGTGATGACAGCAGTGGCAGTGGCATCATCTGCTGAGGTCCCGCCAGGGCAGGGTTCATCAGCGTTACTACCAGAAAACGCGCCCTTGGTTGCACCAGCAGCATTGCCAGCACCCCCTGTGCTGCTCACAGCAGCAGGCGTGGCGGCAGCAGAGGCAGCAGCGGCAGCACTGGCAGAACCATCACAAGTGCCAGCAGTGACAGCAGCAGAGGCAAGGGCAGTTGCACCAGTGACAACAGCATCAGAAGCGGCAGCAGAAGCAGCAGCAGTGGCAGCAGCATAACATCTGGCGTCCGCTGCCCAGCCTGTCATGTGCGTTTCAGAGCCAGCCATCGCCTCACTTCCCCCACGCCCACTCGGACTGCCCCAGATACCACCGCCCCCACCACTGTTGCCGTTGTTGCAGTTGCTGTTATTGCTGCTGCCCTCACCATGCGCATTCCCTCGCCCCCTCCCCCCTCTCCCACTCTGCTCCTGCCCCCCTGCATTCTTCCTCCCTTTCCGCCGTGACCCCTTCTCCCCCGCCCCTCCCCCTCCCCCGCTTCCCCCTCCGCCTCCCCCTGCCCCTCCCCCGCCCCCCCCTCTTGCCACGTCCCTCATAAGCTCCTCCACAGCCAGCTGCGTGCTGCCATTCATGGTGCGCCACGTGTCATGCTGGTATTTGATGGACTGCAGCCCAATCTGCTTCAGCTGCTCAAAGGAGTACACGTGTACAGGTGCATACGTGGCTGACCCTGCTCCTCCTGATCCACTCCCTCCTCTCTTACCACTGTCACCTCCTCCTCCTCCTCCTCCTCCGCCTACTCCACCTCCTCCTCCTACTCCTGCTCCTCCTCTGCCTCCTCCTCTCCCACCCACTCCACACCCTTTCCCACCCTCAGAACCCAACATTGTCGCTCCCACCCATCCATCTCCTTCCTCCTCCCCTCCCTTACCCACACCCACACCCTCCGCTCTCCCCTCCCCTGCACTCATCCCCCACTCCTCCCCAGCCACACAGACAGCGCCCTCCATCCCCCCCTGCCCCTGCCATGCCCTCCCATCCCTGCCCCAACCACAACACCCTGCTCCAACGCCCATGCCTGCTCCCATGCCTGCTCCCATGCCTGCTCCCATGCCTGCTCCCATGCCTGCTCCCATGCCTGCTCCCATGCCTGCTCCCATGCACGTTCCCATGCCTGCTCCCATGCCTGCTCCCATGCCTGCTCCCATGCCTTTTCCCATGCCTGCTCCCATGCCTACAGCACCAGCCGCATGCATGGGCATGTACATTTCCCCCTGCACAGGAGGAGGCACTGGCATGGGAACCCCTCCCTGAATGGGCAGACCAACAGGCATGGCATGCCATGGCGCATCAGTACCACCCCCAGACCAGCCCCCAGGAGCGCACTGCGTGGTGCTCGCAACAGGGGGAACGTGCAGAGGCAGCGGGACGGGCAGGGCGAGAGGGGCCCCGTGGCCCTTTCCAAGAATGCCCTTCTCTGCGTCTGGCAGCCCGTGGGAAGGAGCTGCTTCTGGCAGCCCGTGGGAAGGAGCTGCTTCTGGTAGTGCAGGGGCGGGAGGGGCGTCAGGCGATGTGCTTGCAGCGGGAGAGGGGGGTGGCTGGGGAGACGCCTGTGGAGCAGAGGGAGTTGGGAGGGAGGAGGCATCGGCGGAGGGAAAGATGGCAGGCGCATGGGAGCATGGGGATGCGGGGGAAGGAGACCAAGAGAGGTGACGGGGCTGAGGGGCGTGTGGCGGGATGAGTGGCGGGGTCATGGGAGGAGAGGCGGCAGGGGGGGGAGGCGCTGTGGTGGGGAGAGGAGAAACGGCAGCAGCTGCTGGTGACGCTGGGAGGAGGGACGGTGACTCTGGGGCGGTGGGGACAAGGCAGTCCGCTGCTTGCTCGCATGTGTCTGTCTGTGACTGTGTGTGTGGCGTGTTGGCTGGCAATATGTGTAATTGCTGGGGCTTCTCCTCACCAGCTTCTGCCACCACACGGGTAGACTCTCTGCCGCAAATCACCGCGCTGCACCCATCAGCAATGCCAGAAATCCCTTCTGTAGCAGCACTCGCTGCGGGAATCGCTGCAGGAGCAGAGGCAACAGCAGGAGGCGGAGAGGCATGTGCTGCGGTCTCTGGGAGAGGAGGAGCAGGGAGGGAAGGAGCATGGAGAGAAGGAGCAGGGAGAGAAGGAGCAGGGAGAGGAGGAGCAGGGAGAGAAGGAGCAGGGAGAGAGCAAGAAGCAGCATCGGCACCTTGACTCGTCTCAACTGGTGCCTTTCCTGACCCACCCACATCCACCCTACCATCCTCCGCCCTCTCCTGCTCCTCGCCCTGCCCCTCTTCCAGCTCCCCTTCCTGTTCCTTTCTTCCCGGCACTCCTTCCCGCTGCCTTTCTCCTCGCCCCTCCCTCTCCCTTTCAATTCTCCTCTCCAATTCTTCACTCACTTCCTCTCCCAGCTCCTCTCCTCCTCTGTCCTCCACGTCCTCCCTCTCCTTCTCCCCGCTCTCCACCTCCTCCCCACCACCTTCTTCCTTCCCTTGCTCACGCTCCACCCCGTCTTCCCTCTCCTCCGTCGCCCCACATCCCCCATGCATACAAGCGACAGCAGGTAACTCGTGAGTCGACCCAGAGGTCTCCTTCTTTGCCCCATACTCCCCATCCGCCCTCGCTTCACCTGCTGCACACTCTCTTGCTTCACCTCCGCCTGAGCCTCCCTCTCCCGCAATCTCAGCCCCTTCCAATGCCCGGTCTGCCACAGTCCCATCTCCTCGCCTCTCCCCCTCCTCTCTCACATCCCCCCCTCTCCTCCCCTCCTCCATAACCTGCCCTTGCTCCTCTTCTTCCTCCCTCTCTGCCACCCCCTCTCGCAACTCTTGCCCCTCTCCCTCCTCTCCCCCCTCTCCCTCTTCTAACCCCCCTCTCCCGTCCCCTACCCCGTTTCCCAAAGGGATTCTATCAGTATTCGCCTGCTCATGCCCCCTCTCCTCCCTCCCTCTCTCCTCTTCCTCCCTCCCCTCTTCCCGCTCAGCAATGACCCCATCCCCCTGATCCTCCTCCCCTTCCCCCTCCCCCTCCCCTTCCCCTCCCCCCACAACCTCCTCCCCAGCCATCCACTCCCCTCCATCCTCCTCCCCCTCCCCCCCATAATCTTCCCACACTTCCGCCTCTTCCCCCGACGCCCCAGGGGCCGTTCCCCCATCCGCCGACCTGCTCCCTCCTCCCCTTCTCCCCCCTCCTCCCCTCCACCCGCCTCCTCTTCCGCCACCACCACCCCCTCCTCCCCTTCCCCCGTACCCCCTGCTTCCCCCTCCCCGCCCTCCCCCAGACGAAGAACCCCCCGCTCCTCCCCCTCCCCCTCCCCTCCTGTTACCTCCGCCCCCTCTTCCTCCCCCGCTCCCTCCCCCGCCCCTCCGCCCGCCTCCCCGCCTTTTCCCGCCATCCCCATCACCACTCCCCTCATCCTCCTCCCCCTCTCCCCCCTCACCTCCCCCTTTCTCCTCACCAACCCCAAGCACCATCTCCCCTCTTTTAGAAACACTCCCGTTAGAAGCATCCGTCTTTCTATCACCCTGCGCGCCCCCCTGCCGGTCGTCCTGCGCGCTCCCCTGCCTGCGCGCGCCAGCGTCCCCCTCCGCCTGTCGCCCCTGCGGCTGCTGCAGCAGCGCGCCAGCCATCGCTCCGCCAGCAGGCGCGGATTGGCGCGCCTCAAGGCTCGCTGTGGCGCGCGCAGCAGCAGCGCCAGGCGCAGCAGCAGCAACGCCGGCAGTAGTAGCAGCGCCAGGCGCAGCAGCAACGCCGGTAGTAGCAGGCAGGGACGGCGCAGGGACAAGGACGGTGGTAGCAGCAGCACTGACCCCGGGAGCAGTGGAGGGTTCGGGGGTCAAGGAGGGCTCGGGGACAGCAGTCGGCGGAGCTGCATCCACGCCAGCAGTAGGGACAGCTGTCACGATAGCAGGAGCAGTAGCAGCAGCTGCTGCTGGAGGGACTGTACGTGTGGGCGCTGCTACAGTCGTCACTGGAGGGGATGTAGTTGCAAAAATTGCGGCAGCCGTCAGTGATTGGGCTGTAGCTGTGGGCACTGCAGCAACAGCGAGGCTCGTCCCGCCGTTGGCCCTCAGATTGCCACCTTCTCCCAGCCCATCCACCGGCGCACCGTTGATCGCCGGCCTCGTTGACGATCCAACGGCGGATAACGCGCCATCTGCCACGGCATTCCCAAAGCCTTCTGCGCGGGGGGCGGGCTGAGCGACTCGCGGAGCAGATGAATCGCTGGCGGCTAAAGCGGCGGGGAAAGGCGGTTGACCAAGGGGCTGGTGGGGTGGCGGCGGAGTCGCGGTTACGAGATAGAGCGGCGGAACGACCTGCGTGGCGGAGACGACCTGCGGCGGAATAGGGGTTTGGTGCGATGGGCTACGGGGGTGGTGCGGTTGGATGGGATTTTGGTGCGATTCAGCAGGGTGGTGGCGCGGCGGAGCGACCTGCACGGCGGAGACGGGCGCGATGTTGTCGGGGCCGAGCAGCTCGAGGCGGCGCTGGCGGATAAAGGCGTTCACCTTAAGGAGGTAATCGGGATCCACCGCGAGCTCCGCTGGCCCCGAGGGAGGGATCTGATGGTTCATGGCGTCGCGGAAGGTTCTCGACGGGTTTCTAAGGAACTACCTGCTACAAAACGGCGTTTTTAACTGATGAGGTAGTCGGGTCCACCGCGAGCTTCGCGAGGCACGAAATGGGGTTCTGACGGTTCACGTCGTCGCGGAAGGTTGTTGCAGATTCTCAAACACCACCGGCTAAAAGACCCCGTTAACTTCAACTAGGCAGTCGGGGTCCACCGCGAAATTCGCTAAAACCGATGGAACTATCAGCCATAGCGGCGCGTGATAATGCCAAATATATTGGCTCAAAATAGTGGGAAATCACAAGGACTCAGGGGTACAGTATTTTGAGGATGAGAGAATGTCGGGGGATGGGTTGATTTGAGTGAGGCAGATCAAAGAGGTAAGGACGCGTTACAAGTGTAGTGAATTCTCAAAGTGCACTGTACTTGTCTGGGTGTTCAACTCCACTTGAAACATTTTCGCAAACTCAGCCCAGATCTCTGATTTCGCGAAATTGGAACGTTCTCGCCAACGCACGATCGATCGGGGCTGGCAGGTTTCGGGTTTCGGGTACGGCGTGCAGGAGTTGGGATCGCTTTTCCCTTGGGTCGATTGCACGATGCGAGCACACCAACTACCCCTGTTACAAAAATGTCAAGTTAGTACAGTGATTTATGTGGGCTGACGTCATGCTAATTATCACCTCAAGATCGTTGTTATGTGCAAGGGAAAATCCTCTTCCTTACTTCGCACCCCAGCTTAGCGCGTACACTATTGTTCCCGCCACACTGTGAACCATTACCACTCGTGACATTCGCCTCGACCACCTTCCCGCCACTACACCCATCGAGACCCAACCTCACGGCTCGGCTGGTAACCCGCGCTCCGGGCCTCCGCTTCGACACTTCCCGACCTCAGTCACAGGCCCGTCACGCACCTCCCACACTTCGTTACCGTGACCATTGTAGCCTCGCTATATAATATGCGCCCGTCCTTTCTCTCGATGTATTGTTTTGCTTCGATAGTGCAATTCTCGCTCGCTCGCTCAATTGCACTCGTAACACTTGGTATTCAGAGCCTACGATCTCTTCTCGGACCGCACCCACACCTTCGCTTCCCCACTATCTCAATTTTTGGAGGGGGTAAACGTCTCTCAGCGCCCAAGCACCGCCGCTCGAAATGCTCTCTCGTAAACACGCACGGCCACGACTGAGGCTCTCGCTGAGCTCGTCCGACACCCCCACCATGGCCGAATTCAATCTTGCGACACTGACGCAGGAGCGTCTCGACGAACTCGTGCGCCAACTCGAGGAATCGGCGCTCGAAATCGCGACACTCACGGCGGAAAGCGACTCCGCCCTACAACAATCAACACCTGCAAATGCACCTGCGCAATCGGATGAGCCTATTGTCATATCGGCCAGCACACCGTCGCATCAAGACAGCGTGGGACAGCGCTCAGGCGCAGCCAGTGACGGCGCCGCCCAATCAATGCTTGGGATGGAGAGAACCAGGGTCGTTCCAACCGTGAATGCACCTCCCAAAGCCCGTCGTCACGTCGGATTTGCGGCATCTGCGAGCAACGACGTCATTTGCGAGCCAGTGCCGCTCAAGCCGCAACGCCCGACCTGTTTCGACCCCAGCCAACGCGGAGGTCCGACGGTTCAATCGTGGGTCTTCACGATGAACGTCTTCTTCGACGCGAATTACGTCATGTCAGACGCGGCGAAGATTCGATACGCGGTTTCGCTGCTGCGGGGCCCCGCCATGGACTGGTGGCGAGTCATTGTGACATCGCCACGCACCTTTGAGCCACCGTCGCAAGAGGAAGGGCCCACGGGGCCATCCGTCACCTGGAGTTCTTTCTGCGAAACCGCCCAATACAGCACGTGGGACACGTGGTGCGCAGGGCTTCGGGCGCGCTTCGAGCCGATCGCGGCTTCTATTTTGACGCGTCAGAAACTGCACACTTGGCAACAACTCGGGTCGGTTCAAGACTACAGAAGCTATTTTCTCGCACTTTGCGAGCAAGTCGGCTACATGCACGAGGCAAAGCGAGTGGATCGTTACGTCGGAGGGCTAAAGCTGGACATCTCGCTCGAAAAAATGCTTCGTGGGCTTTCTAACTTCAACGAAATCCTCGCGCTCGCCGAGAAAATTGACATCCTACGACATCCGAGACCGGGGTCCTACTACGGACATCGCCCTCTGGGACCGACCGAGCACGCCACTGTACACGCCGTTGCGGCAAACGCAGCTGCCGCGCCAGGGGCGCTGCTTTGCTTGCAACAGGCCGGGCCATCGCAAGAGCGAATGCCTAGAGGAACTAAGGCGTCATGGAGGAGCAGGGGAGGGAGTCTGGGAGGCAGGGAAACGCCAACAGTCAGTAGAGATCGGGCCCACTACTGACGAGACTCACTGCTCGCCCGACCTCACTGACTCTCACCGAGTCACAATACCAATTGATGCCATCGATCGGGCTAGGATGAATAAGAAGGGCACAGCGATGGATTGCCCAATACTGATTCACGGGAAAATACAAGGGGTAGAAGTAAAGATTTTTATAGACGGAGGAGCAAGTCACTGCTTAGTTAATACCGCAACCACACGGAAACTACAACGGACTCTTAGTCGATGTTTACCTGAGATCGACGCGCGCTTAGTTGACGGCACGCCGCTGGCCATACGGGAGATAGTGGAGAGAGTGAAAGTTTGCAGCGGGGGAAACTTCGGATTTACACAGGAAACGCTCGCGACAACACTGGATGGGCACGACATTTTGCTGGGCCGTGATTGGCTGCGATGCTACAACCCGCGAATTGACTGGACGACGGGTAGCTGCACTGTGCGAAGTAGTGGTAACTGGGTCGAACTACGCCTCGCTGGCGGTCACCTGAGTCATCAGCGGTCCACGTCAACGCCATCATATGTACGCAGTGGACATCGCGGTAGTAGGAGAAGTAGAGGCGCCGGGCGATTTTCATAAACTGTTAGCAGCCGTACCGCCCCAGCTACACCTAGCCCGCGGTAAATTCACCGCGCGGACGTTTTTCTTCCAGGCACCCTTTGTGCGTTTTCGGGTAATGAGAAGGGCACCCAGAGACTCCGAGGCTAGCAGTATACAGCTAGGAAGCATTTCAGTCTCAGAAACTGGCACTTAGTGACCCGAGATAGGGAGGGATTGGCATTTACAAAATTTCTACTCTCCATCATCTGGCGAAGGGAATGCGTGATTCTACCCTCTCCGAATCCGAAACTACCTTCATAAACTAACTTAACCGCGGGAAAGTACACCCGGGTGGTGAAGATACCGCCGGTGAATTTACCGCGGACTAGGTGTACAGGAAGAACTAAAACGATACCCGGTAATTTTTCCCGACGACTTACTAGAGGGATGGCCACCTCAGCGTGCAAACGACCACCGCATAGAGCTAGAGCCGAGGGCACAACCAACCGTACAGTGACAGTTCAGACTGACACAGCCCAAACTCGAGGAACTGAGGAAGCTGTTAGATTACCTGTTAGAGAAGCAGTTCATCCGACCGAGCTCGTCACCGTTCGCCGCACCGATACTGTTCACACCGAAAAAAGACGGAGGTTTCCGAGTGTGTATCGATTGCCGCGCACTAAATCGAGTAACCATCAAATCACTGTATCGCGCTGACAAACTGATAGACCAACTGCAAACAGCCCGCGTCTTTTCGAAAATCGACTTACGGAGAGGTTACCATCAGATTAGGGTCGAACCTTCGGACTGCGCCAAGACAACTTTTAGAACTAGTTACGGATCGTTCGAGTACATCGTAATGCCTTTCAGGCTGACCAACGCACCGGTGACATTTCAGATGACCATGAACGAGGCGTTTAGGCCACTTTTAGATAAATGCGTGACAGTCTACCTCGACGCCATCCTGATCTATAGTGGTGACAAGCAGTAGCACTTAGCGGATTTAGAAGCAGTTTTTAAAATTTTAGACGAGAATCGCCTACTGACCAAGGGTTCAAAGTGTGAGCTTTTTTTAGACCGGTTAGAATTTCAGGGGCACGTCATTTTGGAGGCTGGCGTTGAGATTGACCCGAAGAAGTTAGACACGGTAAAAGCGTGGCGTCTGCCGACCAACATCACGGAACTGCAGAGTTTTTTAGGGTTCGTTAATTACGTCCGTCGGTTCGTCCCCGACATGGCCCGCTTAACAGCCCCACTGACGGATGTGCTGCTGAAGGAAGTGGCGTTTACGTAGGGGGAGAAAGAGCATGCTGCCTTCTCTGCCCTGAAAACTATTTTCTGCTTGCCACTCGTACTGCGCATTGCCGACCTACACCGCCCATTCCAAGTAGTTACAGACACAAGCGACATCGCCATCGGAGCCGTACTGCTACAGGATTTCGGCAACGGCCTACAGCCCATCGCATACGAGTCACGAAAACTGCATCCGCCCGAGAAGAATTACCCGATACACGACCGCGAAATGCTCGCGATCGTGCATGAATTCAAAGTTTGGCGTTGTTACTTGATCGGCGTAGACGTGACAATACGGACAGACCACAAATCACTACAGTACCTCCGCGCACAGCCCCACCTCAACCCACGACAGGTCCGTTGGCTCGACTTCCTCGAGTCGAATTTTCGCTACACAGCCACCTACAAAAAGGGGGCATCGAACATCGCCGACGCACTGACCCACCCCACTACCCAAATCCATGCCATACTACTCGCCCAAACCAGCCCACTGCTCACAGAACTATTTGCCCACGGCTGTCAGACAGATCCATTCTTCACCGGAGGAAATTCGCAGCAGTTCGCAAAAGCAAAAGTGGTTTACAATGAAAAACCGGTACTAACCGCATCTGGGTACCGGGCTACACCTTACTACGGGAGTTACTGCTACACGAGGCACATGATGGATTTACCTCACAGCATTTCGGAGTAGATAAAACACGGCAGCTTCTGCAGCGATACTACTACTGGCCCGAAATTTTGACCGACGTGCAACGACACCTGGCACCGTGTCCCACCTGCCAGC